AGATTTGGAGGTAAGGAATAAGATTCTCTCTGAGGAAATGGGTGTAAGGCACTGTCATGGTTGCCACAAATATTCTGGGGCACTGGCCTATTTGTCACTAATAATCCTGTTCTTGAATTACCTAGCTACATAAAGGCCTATATACGCTTCTGCTTTTTTGTGGATCGCTGTTACAGAAGGGATAACTATTTACTCAAACCAACAAGTTAGAAACAAAAATGCTAGCTTTTCCCAGGCCCCAGAGAGCCTGTAGTGTACAAAACATGGTATCAGAGCACAGTGACAAACCTGCCAACTCAGCCCAATCAAATGGAGCCTTCAGGGTTAAGGAGGTTGCAGGCATCATGAAATGGCACATTTTCTGTGTCATCAGTTAGCATGACACCATGCCATCCATCAAATGCCCCTACCTGAAATAGTCAGAAGCATGCATGTACAAGTTCCTTTCTTGCAAAGTCTTTTCATTTAAAGGAAAGGAAACTGTGTGGCCCATTCCCTGTTAAATTAGCATGTGAAGGTCAAGGTGTTTGGGCCAACTGAATGTGTGGAGTAACAACAGTGGCTCATTCAAGTAAAATAGCACATTGAAATGATAGATTTTCCCACAAGTGTGTTGTGAGCTCAGAGCAGATGTAGAGAAAAGATATTGCTTTCTCATGAGCACTTCAATTTTAGGAAACATTACACTGTCAAGCTGAATTTCTACCAAATGAGGTGCAAAAATTCCATCACTTGACAGCCATTCCCCCTCCTCATGTGATTACATAAAAGAACAAGACTAAAAAAACTAGGTTAAATTAGTTACAAAGTGTGCTGCAGAACACAGCGCACAATGATTCAACAGAGAAAAAAAGGGTTTTCCTGGGAAGCTCTTCTCCCTCCCCAAAGACCTTCTCAATTAGCTCCATTGTTTTGGACTTGCCCATGGAAGGTTCTTCAGGTACCTCCAGCAACTCCCACAAGCAGTGTTGACTTAACTCTGGGAAAACTGGCTGGTTCTCCGATGGATAACTGAAAACTGTCCGGAGGTAGATACAAAAACTAGTCCAATGGAGAAAGGTAGCTTCCTTCTAACCTCTACCACCAGAATCCGTCTTGATCATCAGCACATTCCCACAGGGAAGCTTGCCTCTGTATTTCATAACCAAACCATTCCTAACCATTACCTGGCATTCCCAACATGAACCACCTTCTCAATGCCACATCCCTACCCTATCCAGAAACAGCAACTGAACTGGAAGTGCAAAGTTCATACCTATACCAGGCTAGGAAGGAAACGGCATCAATCCAGACAGACCTGCAGCAGCAAACCAGACAGGGGGAGAAGAGCAGCAGCATTTGGGATGTTTAGGTGGAATGAGGGAAAGGGGAGGGAAATTAAGGGGGTATATTGCGTTTCTTTTAAGCTGATTCCATAGCATTGAGAGAGAAAGCTGCAGAAGCCATGTAATGCTTGATACCTCCAGTTCAAAGATCATAAATCTAACGTACGTTATCAAATCTTAAATGTTAGGGCTTTATGTCACTGTTTTCATTTCAATAATAAAAACCTCTTAATTTTTGTATAATTACATGTAAGTACCCCTTTCTAGAAGTGTAACAGTGCAAAAGGGGGATTGGATTAGTTCAGTCATCAGCAGCTTAATACCATCTCTCTGGCACCTAAATTATCTTTACCGTCATCTTTATATCTTTGTGTAGTGAAAAAGACAGGGCTGACAACTCTTCCAATTATGCTCTACCTAGGAATGCAGCTGCTATTCTTAGTCTTATGAGCACCTTAACATCGCAGGGATTTTCTCCGTTCTGAACTAGAACAGAACGAAGCTCATGCTTTATTGATCTATTCCTCTCCTGGAAAGCTTTAAGTCTGTTTGGTTCGTCAGACAAGCAATTCAACCGCTTTTTGTAGCACATTCCGAACTCTACCGCAGCCTATTACAACCCCCCCTCTCTGTAACCCATCAAACGTTTCACTTCCAATTTATGCTGTATTAAATTTTCATAATCTGATCCTTAAACTCCCCCTGGTGGAGATTATTAAATATTGTCTCCCTACTCTTCTTATCCGCTGCAGTCAGTGGGGTGGGGGGTAAAAAAAGACTTTGGTCAAGATGTCTGTAGGTCTGAATCCTGTCGAGGCTCAGACGTTATTAGTATAAATAGTATTAATAACTCATTTTCTTTTCAAGATGATAACAATACAGCCCTTTTTCTAAGACAAAGTACAATCTGATCAAAAATATGTCAAAGTTGTATAACAGAAACTTGACTAAACTCAAAAGCTTGTTACGTGCTAAACTAGAAAGAATTTGTTATGCGAAGCACATGCTAAGTTAAACAAGTTGCAAACTACCCTCACTTGGGCTTCTCTTCTCAGACTTCAAAACCACAGAGAGCTTCTACAAGCATCAACAGGACAAATATATTAATGACATCTTGCGCTACACCACACAATTAAGATCTGGATTTTTGACACAGTTGGGAACTTGGGCGACTCCGACCATCTACTCTGCCCCTGCCTCTAGAAAGGGGATAAACGCCTCCTCCATGAGGGCATCAAGAGACTTAATTTATTTCTTAAGATCCATAAAGTTTCCCCAAGAGCTTCAGGCATCAGGTATTAATGCTGCCATCTCAATTAATATTGCCATCTCATCTATTAATACTACAAAGTACTAATACTACCATCTCAACTTGGTGCTATAAATGGCTAAAAGGCTGACTGATGAGGGAAATCCAGCATTACAGTCCACATTACAGATAGGAAGCCACAGCACATGGAAGCAAAATGCCCTGCACCTTGCTCACACAAAAATGGACTTTAATTTCTTTTTTCTACTGTGACAGTCTTCCCCTCTAACAAGCCCTCCAATCGGAGAGCTGCCCGCAGGAATCCAGATTCAAAATACACAGGTCTGGCTGAAGCACAGATTTTTCAATCTTTACCACAGTAAATACCAAGGCAGACAAGGTTCGTTGGGTAAAACCGATATCTTTTATGAGACCAACTCAAATTGTTGGAAAAATTCTTCTTTGCTTTTTTCCAGCTTCTTTGCAAGGATTTTTCCAAGTATTTGAGTTGGTCTAAGAAGAGATATCAGGTTTACCCAAAGATCCACATCTGCCTACGTCCTTAGATCAACAAGGCTACAACCTATACCACAGTACCGCCAACGCACCTATAGAAGTCACTCTCTGGGTCACTGTGCCTCAGCTGAAATGGCAGTTTGGGGATTTTGGTATCCAGGGGAAGCAGGTCATCGGGGAGAGGTGGAGAAGCAGGACGAGAGGGCAGAGGCTCGCTGTCTTCAGTTTTGATGCCCTCAACTTGCTGCTGGTTCTGGGCCTGGGCCATGGCGATGAGGCTGCGTAGCCGCCGGTTGTGCTGGATGAGCTGGATGGTGTGAATGGTGAGGCTGCAGGGCTCCGATGGGATGTCCAGCATGGTGGTGGGTCTGGGTTTGTTTGCCGAGGGCTGATGCAACGGAGGATCTTGGACTTCCACCGTGCGAAACTCACGTTGAAGCAAATCAAATGAGCTGCGGTTGGCCTGACTGGCCGAGACGGGAATTTCACCCCAGTAGCGCAGCATCTTCCTGCAAATGAGGTACGCAGAGACAGCGGCGGAGAGAGGCTACAGAGCAGCGTGCCACATCTCTCAGGTGCAAACCCCAAGCCACAGGGGGCCGGCCCCCGGGAGGGAGCCACAAGGGTGGGGAAGCTCGTGCCACCCTGACACTGAGACCAAAGAAAAGCCCTCACTTCAGGCAACGCTCGAACCACACCGGTCTTCAAAGCGTTCTCACAGCCGGGGACCCAGGCATCGCTTGCTGCCCTATAGAAAGAGAGACGCCAGTGCTGAGGCAGGACGCTACCGTTTTTCTCTCCTAAAAAAAAAAAGGGGGGGATCTGAGCCCGTGAAGCAGAAACCCAGCCAGCTCCTGGGTGACAGCAGGTGCGAGGCCTCGTGAGGCCCACGGCCTGTTGCACCCTGTGCTCGGGTGGGGGAAAGGAGCCAGTAAGGGGCGGGGGCAGGTCAAGAGTTCCACCCCTCCCCCACCAGCGCCTTCTC